GCCCACCCCCCACCGGCTCCCTTCTCCCTGCCCAGGCTGTGCTAAAACGCCAGCTCTTTTTTCTGTCTTTACTTCCGCAGAGGGAGCTTGGGAAGTGACAAACTTAAAAAAAAAAAAATGCTATTATAATAAAAAGCAATCTACAAAATCAAATCCTTGGAAGAAGCACATAAGTGTGGGGAATTATTTTCTGCAAAATGCCCTCCAGCCCCCAGATGCCATTGCCTCCAGTGATAGGAGGTCATCTGAGCTGGCTGCCTGGGCTAGGCCCAGGACCCTCCCTGACTCCCCTTTCTGTCTTGTACCCCAGCCGGGTGGAAGAGACCGGAGTGGTGCTGTCCCTGGAGCAAACAGAGCGGCACTCCCGCAGACCCGTTCAGCGGGGCACCCCCTCTCAGAAGGACGCCCCTAACCCTGGAGACAGCCTTGGTATGGGGCAGGGCTGGGGCTGGGAGGGTTGTATCCCCGGGACCCTTGGGAGAAAACCCAAGTACCTTAGCATGGCTCACCAGGCCCTGTGGGACATAACTCTAGCCTCCCTCCCTCCTCTGCTCACTCACCCTCCAAACCACAGCACCTCCTCAGAGAGCTTAGATCTCGCCAGACTCTTTCCTGCCTCAGGGCCTTTGCACATGCAGTTTCCTGTACTCAGAATGCTCTTCTCTCTTCTGCCCTCCCTCCTCTCCTGTGGCTGTGGAATAGTTGCTTCGGTTTCTTGCCACCCTCTGCTCTGAATCCTGCTGTGACTCCTGCTTGATCCCACCATTCTGCTTCTTCCCTGTCTCATTTCACTGTTCTTTGGTTTCCAGTAATCTCCATCCTCGCAGGTCTGGCTCCTTTCTCTCTTCCTTCTCCATTCCCTCATCCTGCATGAGCTTTCCTCCCCTGGCTGTTCTTCCAGGCTCATCTCCAAGCTGCTACTGGCCGCCCATGCTCCTGGGTGTGGGGTGGGATTGCTTGTATCCTTTTATTTTCTGGCTCAGAGCTGGCTCTGAGCCATGTCTTGACCTTTGGGGACCTTAAAACCTCCTCAAGGACCTTAGATTAGTCTTTTCTCCTAACACGCGAGTTCCCCAGAGCTGAACAGCCAAATGCTATTCTGGGCCACTGGGCCCCTCCCCTGGAAACTTCCAGAGCCTCACCACAACCTGGCAACTAAGGTTAACACCCGGGCCAGCAGGATTCCTCCAGGCCCCTTCTCCCCAGCACCAAGAACGGTGGCCATCCTGACCAGTTGTTGACGATGTCAATTATGTTCCCTGGGGTTGGCGTGAAGGGCTCCGGCCCTCAGCCCTCGGTGACCACCCTGTGTCTTCCCCTCCCTGCTTGTCTCACAGACGCCCCTGGTCCCCGGATCCTTGCCTTCCTGCACCCCCCTGCCCTGAGCGAGGCCGCCCTGGCTGCTGACCCCCGCCGTTTCTGTAGCCCTGACCTCCGCTGTCTCCTGGCGCCCATCCTGGATGGGGTTTCCGTAGCTGCCACCCCCAGCACACCACCGGCCACACGGCACCCCCAGAGTCCTCTCCCGGTAAGCTGTCCTGCCCACTTGGGCCCTCAGCATCCAGGTTGCCTTAGCCTTTGGCTCAAAGCCTTGCAGTCTGGTGGGCCTCAGTTTCTCCATCTGTGTAGTGGGGAGGATGGAATGGGATGGGGTTGAGGTTTCTTTAAGACCTAAATTCCAGAATTTACAGTTGTTAAAATTCTAGCATCTGGTCCCTGACCTGGGATATGTGGGATTGGCATGAGGGACCCCTTGTCCCCCAGGCATTCAGCTCTCTGAATTTTTATTTCAAAGAATCAGAACGTCTAACATTTTGATTTACACAGACCTGGATTCAAATCCTGAATCTTCCACTTATCAGCTATGTCACCCTGGGCAAGTGAGTTATTGAAACTTAATTTCTTTACCTATAAAAGGACAATGGTGCTGGGTGCGGTGGCTCATGCCTGTAATCCCAGCACTTTGGGAGTCAGAGGTGAGAGGACTGCCTGAGCCCAGGAGTTCAAGACCAGCCTGGGCAATTTGGCAAGACCTCGTCTCTACAATAAATCAAAAAATTAGCCAGGCATGGCAGCATGCACCTGTAGTTCCAGCTACTTGAAAAGATGAGGCAGAAGGATTGCCTGAGCCCAGCAGGTCGAGGCTGCAGTGGCCATGAGCGTGCCATTGCACTCCAGCCTGGGCAACAGAGTGAGACTCCTACTCAAAAAAAAAAAAGGAGAATGTAACAAGTAGTCACATGAGTGATTGTTGTGAGATTTAAATGAGATTATTCATGGGACACACTTAGTAGGGGTCTGGCATCTGGTGTGTGTTCAATAGATCATATCAGTTACCATTTTTACTTAGAGTGCAGAGAGCCTGACCTTTAACCTCAGTAGGTCCTATCATCTGGCTTTGACTGTTCTCATTCCCAAGAAAATATCTTCTGTCTTCATGGACAAGTACAGATTGTGACCTTTGACCTCACCCTTTACCCCTGGGACTGCTGGAATCTCCATTGCTTCCCTGCCAAACTCCAGACTCCAAGACCCTTGAACCCCAGAGGTCCTCGGGCTCTGATCTTTCTAACTTTCCATGTTTGCCCTTTTGATCTACCCAAGCCTTCTGACCTTTGAACACCCAGGTTCAGAACTCATCTGCATTTGCTATGGGATCCCCTTGCCACCCCAGCTGTCTGACATTTGACCCCCACTTCTATTCCTGAGCTCTTGATGGTCTTCCTGTTGATGCCTCCCAGGAAACTCAAGATTTCCTTAAGGTTCTGCTCAATTTCCCCACAGGCTGATCTCCCAGATGAACTACCTGTGGGCATGGAGAATGCACACAGACTCTTTGCCCCCGGGAAGGACCTTGAGGCAGTAAAGACAGATCTAGCGATAGCTCAGGTAAGAACTAGCATGGAAAGAGCAGTCTTCACCTCTGTGCTCTGGGGACTGACAAATCTGAGCTTTAGAGAAGGGTGATCGTATGGCTAAAGGGATGAGTGGATGGATGGGCCATTGCATTCATTAGTTGGATGATGGGTGGATGATGTTTAGGTAGATATTTGGATGGATGGATGGACAGACGGACAGATGGACGGACAGACGGACCATTGGCTTATTAGCTGGATGAAAAAATGGATGAGCTGGGCTCGGTGGCTCAGCCTATAATCCCCGCGTCTTTTGGGAGGCTGAGGTGAGTGGATTGCCTGA